GTAAGGATGCATCTTTAATGAGTTTAGAATGTAAGAAAGATATTATTAAGAAAAAGAATGTTTGTTTTGTGTGTCTTAAGAAAAACCATAGAGCAAATCAGTGTACAGCTAAACATAGGTGTACCTTATGTAAAAATCCGACATATTTTGTGATTATGTGCCCTGATTTGCCTTCTAACAAAACAAAAGTGTCACAAAGTTAGGGAATGACGAAAACAAAACAGGCATTCTTAATAACTATGTTAAGGTATCAGATGTATATCTTCAAACTTTAATTGTAAAAATTCAGAATGGTTCTAAAGAAATGTTTGTATGAGCAATTTATGATAGTGGTTCTATAAAATCATATGTATGTAATGATGTTGCTCAAAGATTAAATTGTAAGTGTATTGGTAAATCAAAAAATAATCAATTTCTTTTTGGTGGAGACTTCACAAAATGTGTTTAAAAACTATGTTATTGAAGTTAGCAATATATATATAGTAAATATAAGTGTAAATTAGAGGTGCTTGGTCAAAACAAAATTTGTTCTGAAATTAAACCACTCCCATCTGGTTCGTGGTTACGTGAATTTAAGTCACGTGGTATCAAATTACATGATTTAGAAAATGGTCCATACAATGTCGATAAAGAGATAAAATTACTAATTGGTGTGGATTTTGCTGGTAAGTTGCTAACTGGAAAAATTGTTCCCTTTACGTGTGGTGTCAGCGTGGTGCATACGCAGTTAGGCTGGACCGTTGTGGTTAAATTTACTGGTACTGAGCCAACTATGATAAATACTGCATCCCTCCTAATTTCTTCTCTGTTAGTGAAGGGTCAATGTATTAGTGATCTCTGGAAGTTAGATGTTTTGGGTATTAGTGAACCTTCCATAAGTAAAACAAAACTCAGTTACAGGAGGATACGTAAAAATATTTTGAAGAGACTCTTATTCAGATGGAAGGTACGAAGTAGCATTACCTTGGGTGTCGGATAGCTCGCTTTTACCCGAAAACAAAGTGATAGCAGAAAAATGTCTTGTAAGGACTAAAAGAAAATTAATGACTACGGGAAATTTTGACGCTTACGGACATGTTTTCCAGAATTGATTAGCACTCGGGATAATTGAAAAAGTACCGGATAAGAATATATATAAGGGTGTACATTATTTGCCTCATAGAGCAGTTGTTAAAGAAAATAGTAGCCCAAATATAAGACCAATGTTTAACGCAAGTTCTCATTCACCTGGTTACCCATCATTGAATGATTCTTAATCAGTCTCGCAAGAATTACGTTGGTGTCACTTCAGATATAGAAAAGGCATTCTTACAAATATCTATAAGGGAAAAAGATCGAGAATTTTTGAGATTTATGTGGTTCAGTAGGGATAATCAAGAACAAGTTGAACTCTATTGGCATAGAAACGTAGTTTTTGGTATTGCGTGTAGTCCGTATTTATTGGCCGCTACAATACAATATCATTGGAGTGTAGATCCCGAAAGCTTAAGTCATACAGCGAAGATTTTGAAAGCATCCTTTTACGTAGATAACTGTGTGGCTAGTATGGATTCAGAAATAGAAATGAGAAATTTTGTAAATGAATCACAAATAATTATGGCTTTGGGTCATTTTTAATTTAAGATTCTGGAAATCCAATATAAGAAGTGTTATGCCAGAGGAAGATTCCTCCACGGAAGGAGATGTGTCTGTTTTGGGCCTTGCATGGCATACAATAACAGATACCTTGCAAGATATAAAACTGGATGACCCAGTTACTAAAAGACTAGTTTTAGCAGTAGGTCATCAGGTGTTTGACATTATAGGGCATACGGCTTCTGTAATGTTGATTCCAAAACTAATTTTACAGGAAACTTGGAATTTAAGGCTTAAATGGGATGATATTCTTCCCGATGAATTAACCAAAAAATTTGGGTTTTGGCGTAAAAAGTTGTACTTGCTATCCAGTATCCAAATACCTATATGGGTAGGTCTCAAATCTATTAATGAAGCTGTGAGTATACATCTCTTTTGTGACAGTAGTAAAAGTGTGTATGGTGCATGCATCTTTTTAAGAGTACAGAGTGGCAAGAAGGTAAAGTTTAGTTTGGTACACGCAAGATCGAGAGTAGCTACCTTTAAAACCTATTACGATTCCTCGATTAGAACTTCTTGCTTGTAATATTGGTTCTAGGTTATTGTCTTCAGTTATTAATGATATTGGCCTACATGAAGTTCGTATATCACTTGTTGGACTGACTCCTCATGACAGGCTTTAAGTTGGATACGGTGGCAAAATCAACGTTGGGAGCATTCGTTTTTAATCGTGTACAGGAAATCAGGTCTTTGACCTCCCCCACTGTATGGCGACATGTCCCTGGTAGTCTCAATCCTGCTGACCTACTTTCTAGAGGTTGTTATGCAGATCAATTAATAGAACGAAAATTGTGGGAGGGACCTGATTGGTTACTAGGAAAATGAGGCAAATCGGTGGCCTAAATCTAATGATGAACCAGATGAAGGATTTAGTTAATTCAGAAATACGTAAGACAGTTATTGTTACGTTGGTAAAGAATGATAATTGTATTTGGATGGTACTATGTCAAGTATTTCTCATCATTTACGAGAACCCACATTGTAAGGAATGTTATCATGGATATTCAGATTTTATAATAATGTACGTAATAATAATAATAACAACCATTCTAAGGATTTGACTATAACTGAAATAGAAAGAGGAGAAATAGCTTTAATGTTATTAGTACAAAAAGAGTCATTTAATGGTGAAACAGATGATAAGCTAAGACGACTCTGACCATTTGTCGATAGTCAGGGTCTAATAAGAGCTAAGTCTAATATTGCTTATCGTGACGACTCTTAACAGCTTTAAGTTCCCCATCATATTACATTCTGAACATCCAGTAGTCAAATTATTGATATTAAGTGCCCACAAAGATTTGTTGCATGCAGGTACTACATTGTTGATGTCGCATTTAAGAGAAAGATACTGGACTTTAGAATCCCATAAAGCTATAAGGAACTGTATAAGAAAATGTGTAACATGTCAGAGATTTAAGGCTAAAAGAGGTGAAACAATCCCAGGCATTTTACCAAATGATAGGGTTTGCGATTCAGCCATTTTTGAAATCATAGAATGTGATCTTGCAGGACCTTTGCATTTAAAGGATGGATGAAAATCATATATTGTGCTGTTCACATGTGCGGTTTTATCACGCTACCCATATGGAACTCGTTACCTCATTAACATCCGAATCATTTTTTCAGGCTTTAAGGCGTTTTATCGCACGTCATGGACGCCCTACCACCATATATTCTGATAATGGGACAAATTTTGTGGGTGCAGAGAGAGTTCTGCAAACCATTGACTGGGACTGCCTCTGCTCTAAAGCTGCTGAAAAGAGAATACAATGGAAATTTAATCCTCCATCTGCCGCTTGGTGGGGTGGATGGTGGAAGTGTTTAATACAAATATTGAGAAAATTTTTTAAGTCGTGCTTCTCTTGGTTATGAAGAGTTACTCATCGTCTTGTGCGATTATGAAAGAATTGTCAACTCAAGACCACTTACGTACGTGTCTGACGATATTGAAGATCCCTTGCCTTTAACTCCGGAAAAATTTCTTCATGAAACTCCACAGTCAGGTGTACCCGATATTGACAATGTGGACAAAGAAAAATTGAGTAGAAAAGTGATGTATCTCCAGAGAATGACAGAATTGTTAAGAGTGAAATTTCACTCTGAGTATCTAGGGCAGTTAAGACAGCAGTCTACCAGAAATTACAAAAAATCAACCTCTCTCTGTCGGAGAAATTGTCTTGCTGGAGGGTCAAAATAAAAACCATGCATATTGAAATTTAGCATGCGTTATTCGGGTGATCCCTGGTCGAGATGGCAACATAAGAGTTGCTCTTGTAAAAAGTAATAATTCCGAGTTCTTGAGACCTATACAGAGATTAGATTGGACCTGGATAATATAATAGATCAGGGGTGGCTAATGTGCGGCTCGTGGGCCTGATACAGCTCTCGCAGTCAATTGGTGCTGCTCGTGCATATAAAATATATGTACGAAGTATGGTAAACTAAAACTATTCAGTATAAAAAAGAAGTAATTAATTAGTTTAGACTCTTTTTTACAAAGTTATCAGGGATTTTTCTATTTAAAACCTCCTCCACTACTTCTACAATGATGTAAATATGAACTTGTGGCTTTTAGTAAATCTAGATGTGGCTCTCAAACATTCCTGAATTCAAACGTGTGGCTCTTACTGACATGAAGTTTGGCCAACCCTGTAATAGATAACACTCAAAGTGATCAAGTTCCTTTCATCATCAGTAGTGGTAGAGTTGTAATATCACGAATAATGTAATTCATGTCTTTGAGTTATTATGATTTATTTTGTTGTGCTATTATTGTTGTATTATTCATCAGTAATAATTTTATTTTCAATTAATATGATTTAAGTATTAAGCAATTTTCTTTGTTATATAACCCTTAATGATGTTAAGTTTTATGTTTTGAGTGTGTAGCCATCCACTCAAAAGGTGGGAGAACTGTGGCAACCCTAAAGAATTCGTCTGTCACGAGGATCACGTGCACAGATGCATTACGTCTACGTCTGCTTTTCTGTTTAATAAATAGTTGTATTTAAGATTTTGTAGAATGAGAAATGGCATGAAAAATAACTTGGTTTTTTAAAAAGTTTCGGCTCAAATTTTCGAACCCATAAACTATTTATTATTTATTTGACAACAGGATCAATTGCCAAATATATTGTGTGCAAATTTTAAACATCATCACAGACCTATTTAGTGGCCAATAAGAAATATGAAGATTTTTCAAAAAGTATTAAACTGTTCAACCTTTTGGTTAACATTTTAGCCAGAAAAAAAAACTAAATATATCCAACCAAAAAATCAAAATGCATTTTATTCAACTTTATGGTATTCAGATGTTATACTACTGACAAACTTGGAAATGTGCAATATTTATATTTACTTACCCATTTTAGGAAGTAGTATTTCTTTTTCTTTAAGTAACTCATTCCATAAATCTGATAAACCAGATGGAGAGAATATTGTCTAGAAGAACAAAAATTTACAGAAAACAGAATGCAAAGCCAGCAATAAATACATAAAAAGATACAAATTAATACTATTTAGAAATTATTAAGTATGCAAAATTAAAGTGTTTTTAATTTAGAACATGGGATGGTGGGTAATGCACTTCAAATTTTATAAACGTCTATAATGATGCTCAAAACAATGCAGACAATATAAAGTAATACTTCTGTAGAGACCACACTGAAACAAAAGCATGCATTATAATTTAAATAAATAGATTATTATAATATATTATAATAACACTGAAAAATAACTAAGAATTTAGTAAAGGTATTTCCTACATTACAATGAGTTATCAAATCTTCAAGCACTGTAAGAACATGAGCAAGTCAATTTTAGTTCCATTAACAAACATTTATATTTTGCTTTATATTGACACTTACATTAAAGAAGTTAACCAACCAAAAGTCTTGCTACTCATGACTGTCAGAAACAGAGAGACATACTGCACATGGTACTTTGCATTAGGTTTGAAGTAATCTCAGTCAGCCTCCAGCTGCTACTGCTAATGTTTTTTTAAGCTGTGCTATGCTCTGGTGATAAAACTCGGTCTTGCACACAAAGTCTGTGAATGTGTGCTGCAAATCTGCTCATTATTAAAGAATTTCCGATCATGGTAGTTGACCAGAAAATGGAGTAAGTGGTCATTTGCAATAGCTAGGTCTGAAGAGCACAGTGCCTCGCAGCCAAGTTGCTCAACGATATCACTAGTCATTCCTGAAATATATATCCTCACATTGTCATGCAGGTAGAGCACAACCTTGCTATTAACCAAGGCTGACTTCTGGTGCAAGTACAGATCCTCATTGATGGTGGAGCCTGGTGATAATAGTTCATAATGCACCACTTAGCATATAAACCAGCAGACAGAGTATAAATCTTGCATGGGTGCAGAGTTGGCCTTTAAGTGTCAGACATAGGATCACGTGGTGACAACCAATGTCTTTTATGCTTGGGAGTATCATACTGGACCAACTTTTTATTACTTGCAAGAGATTCACTATGTACAGATGTGTTGCAGTGCCAAGACAAGCAAGGACAAACAGGCAGTCACTCATTCTTAGTTGGCTTTCACAAGTGTGAGGTACCCAACTGCTCAACTTGTACACCTTCCCTATACACTGCAGATAAAAAATAACCATTTCCTCATAAACCTGGAAATGTTTGGCAAGTTCACCACACATTTGACTGCTGTCTTCCTCTATGGCTGCCTTCGAGGTCTCTTTGCCTAACACCCTGACCTGAACAACTGGCCCCAGAGCCTGGCAGTATGTTGTGGTGATGGCGATAAGGAGCGCGCCTTGCGCCCTCCGATAAGTGTGGCAACCCTAGAGGAGAAGTTTCTTACGAGTAGCGAGCAGAGCGAAACAGGCATGCTGTCGGGGAGTGTGCGCAATGCTCCTAAATAAAGCTTAATTTTTATTGTGTCTTGTTAATATTTATATTAATGCAGTAAGAACATAATCTGTGATATGGAATTCGAGGATTGGTGGTAAAAACATAACAGGAAATCACCATAATGGTAACCCGGACTGTGTTAAATCGTATGAACAGTTCTCAAGCACTTTTGGTTTTGACTACAAGCCATCACTCAAGATCTCCAAACCAGAAGTAATGGATTACATCGGTTTTCGTCCTCCGGATCACAGATGAGTAGTAATTATAGATCATTTTATAATTCTGTTTTCTACTTATCATTTAATTTCATTTTCTTTAGTTAAATTTTTTGCTTTTATTTTGGCTTAAAAACCTTGCACAATGTCTGATGTTCATGCCGTCCAAATTCCGGTTTATAACCGATCAGACCCATCTTTATGGTTTATTATGTGTGAAAGTACCTTTGCTCTTGCCACCCCCAAACCTATCACAGAATCCATTACTAAATATAATTATGTAGTTGCTCATCTTCCTCCAGATATTGCATCAATAGTACGGGATTTACTTATGAAACCAGATCCTATTGATCCATATACAAAGCTCAAAACTGAGTTAATAAATCGTTCAGGAGAATCTTCTCAGCAAGAAATTCGCCAATTATTATCTGGAGAAGAATTAGGTTCTCGAAAACCTTCCGATTTGCTTAGAAATATGAAACGTCGAGCAGAATCTTTAAATGTTCCTGATAACTTAATGTTAGAATTATTCCTTCAACGTTTGCCTTCGACTGTTCAGTCTATTTTTGGCAGCGGTTTCCAATTTAACTGTAGATAAAGCTGCAGAAATTGCCGACAGAATTTTAGAAGTAAATCCAACCCCAGGGACTTGTGCCGTTTCTCGCACAGTCGATCAGTCTCTTGAGGATAAATTATTTAAACAAATAGAAAAATTAAACAAACGTATTGATCGCATTTCTCTTTCTTGTGGTCGCTCGCCAAATCGCGGAGATCGCAATAAGGAAAGAAGCAATTCCAAAAGGAGAGATTATTCTGTTTGCTGGTATCATAGACGTTTTGGGAAAAAGTGTAGAGATGACAAATGTACAAAACCTTGTTCATGGCAGGGAAACGAAACCAGCAAAGAATAGAGGCGACTTATTCTTTGCCTCAAGTTTCACGTCGCCTGTTCGTTCGTGACCGTAGAACAAACCTTTCATTCTTGGTCGATACCGGCTCTGACGTGTCCTTACTTCCAGCAAATAATTCTCAAAAACGGAATTCGTCCCAACAAACACTTTTCGCTGCTAATTCTTCTACTATTCATGTTTATGGTCAAAAAAACACTTTCTTTGGATTTCAAATTAAGACGACAGTTTACATGGACTTTTCTTATAGCAAATGTTAGTACACCCATTCTTGGAGCAGATTTTCTCCATTTCTTTGAATTGGTGCCTGATCTCAGAAACAAATGTCTCAAAGATTTAAAAACGCATTTTAAAACCGTCGGTTGCGTGAAAAATGCAAGCATTTATTCAGTAAAAACTGTATTTAGTGATACACCATATCACAAAATTTTAAAAGAATTTCCTTCAGTTACTAGATTACCAGATCCTAACCAACCTGTTAAACATAACACCGTTCATTATATCATAACTAAAGGTCCACCTGTGGTTGCAAAACCTCGTCGGTTAGCTCCAGATCGCTTAAAAAATAGCAAAACAAGAATTTCAAACTATGATGCAATTGGGGCATTTGAGACCTTCGAGCAGCAATTATGCATCCCCACTTCACATGGTTCCAAAAAAGGGCAGTCTGGAATGGAGACCTGTAGGAGATTATCGAGCATTGAACGCTCAAACAATAAAAAACAAATACCCTATTCCATGCTTAGACGATTTTACTGCTGCATTGTACGGTACTAAAATTTTTAGTCATGTCGATTTGATTAAGGCATACCATCAAATACCAATTAACCCAGCTGACATCCACAAAACCGCCATATGCACACCATTCGGTTTATTCGAAAGCACCCGTATGCAATTCGGCTTATGCAATGCATCCGCGACTTTTTTCAACGTTTTATAGATGAAGTCACGCGGGATTTAGAAGGTGTTTTACGCTTTTGTCGATGACTTGCTCATAGCCTCTAAAGATTCTGAGGAACATTGCAGGCATTTGAAAGCTTTATTTTCCAAACTTCAGGAATATGGACTTTGCATAAATGTTTCAAAATGCACCTTTGGTCAAACGTCTATTGATTTCTTAGGTTTTCACCTTAGTGAAAACGGAATTGAACCTCTTCCTGACAAAGTCAAATGTATTTTAGAATTTTCCTCAACCTACCACTCTCACTCAGCTTCGCCGATTTTTAGGCATGTTTAACTTTTACAGATGTTTCATACCTAAAGCAGCACATATTCTTTCTCCTTTAATAAAATTGTTAGAAGGCTATATTAATAAAAAGAAATCTCGTTCTCGTGTTCAGGATTCATCCCCACAATTAAATTGGAACGAGAAATGCTGAACAAGCCTTTATTGCTGCCAAAAATGCCATTGCTCAGGCTACCCTTTTGAGACACCCTATTCCCGGAGCCCAGCTAAGCATCTGGGTAGATGCCTCAGACGTCGCAATAGGCGGCACACTTATGCAGCAGTTGTCTCAACAAACATGGGAACCTATAGCATTTTTCTCTATGAAACTCAATAAAAGTCAACAGAAATGGTCCGCGTACGATAGGGAATTATTTTCAATTTATTCTGCAATTAAGAAATTCCGACACATGTTAGAGGGCAGAAATTTTATAATTTATACGGATCAAAAACCGTTAATATACGCTTTTAAACAGAACCCTCATAAATGTTCACCTCGACAATTGCGCCATTTAGATTTTATTTCTCAGTACTCTACTGATATTAGGCATGTGCAAGGTTCAAAAAACGTCGTTGCTGACGCTCTTTCAAGAATCGAAATTGATTCCATAACAAAATCTCCATTTTTGGATTTTAAAAAATTTTCGGAAGCTCAACGGCATGATCCGGAGGTACAAGACCTTCTCAAAAACAACACATCATCTTTGAAACTGGAATTTAAACCGTGCCAATATTCTGATGGTAATATTCTTTGTGACATATCAACAGACATTCCTCGTCCATTTGTTCCGAATTCCTTTCGCAGACTCATCTTTAATCATCTGCATAATCTGTCACATCCAGGAATTGCAGCTACTACGAAGCTTATTTGTTCTCGTTATGTATGGCCCGATATGAAACGTCATATCAAAAATTGGGTGAAATCCTGTGAATCTTGCCAAAAATCGAAAATTACTAGGCATACTAAAGCACCACTGGGCACATTCTCTCTTCCTGATGCACGTTTTTCAGAAATCCATATGGATATCGTCGGACCGTTACCTCCATCAGAAGGCAACGTGTACCTTTTGACTCTAATAGATAGATTCTCCAGATGGCCTGAAGCCATTCCCATCCCGGATATGAAAACGGAAACCATTTGCAGAGCCATCTTCAACTGTTGGATATCTCGTTTTGGCTGCCCATCGATCATAACAACAGACCAAGGTTCTC